TATATTATGCAAATCTGTTAAAATGCTATTAATTAGCCAAATCTTTCGTAATGCATCAAAATGTTAGCCATTTTTACGTTATCGTTTATAATTTTGTAACTCTTTTTATATTTAAAATAGGGTTAATATTTTCGTATGGCCTGAACTTTGACCAAAATAAACATCCTGGCCAATCTTTTCGATCTATAACATCCTGGCCCGAACTATACACCAAAATAAACAATTTGGCCAAATCCGACTTTTGACCGTTAACTTGGACGGTCAAACGCGTTGACTGTTAGTCAACGCGCCATGTCACTGCCAAGTCAGCATAAAATATTTAAAATAATTAACAATTTCCACACATTCCCTAATTTAAATTATTATAAATTAAAAAAATCATCTAATACTTTAGTTAAACCAAAAATAAAAAACGAAAAAAATTAAATATTTATCAGATCTTATGATTTGGCAGTGACGTGGCAGTGACATGGCGGGTTGACTGTTAGTCACCGCGTTTGACCGTCCAAGTTAACGGTCAAACATCGGGTTTGGACAAGTTGTTTATTTTGGTGTATAGTTCGGGCCAGAATGTTATAGATCAAAAAGATTGGCCAGGATGTTTATTTTGGTCAAAGTTTAGGCCATACGAAAATATTAACCCTTTAAAATACTAAAATTTTGGAATGTTAACCGTCATGTGTCTCTTCCAAATCAGTATCATGTTGCCAAGTCAATATTTCTCACAAAGTTGTTGACTGGAAGTTAACATTTGATTAATTATTAGTATTTCGATAAGTTTGGATGATAAAAAATAATTTGAAAAAGGTTTGCCTAATAAATATTCATTACCCTAAATTTTAACTGTAGCATACAGAGATTCCATGGAACAACTTCTCTCCATTTTCATATATCATCAAATGTTTTTGACAGTAGTTCTACCCAGAGTAGGGTTAGATGATTATGGTTAAATCCAGGCGCGTAGCCAAAATTCATGGTAAGGTGGGTCCAATTTTTTTAGGGAAAATGTATTATGAGTTGATTTGTATCATCAATTTTTATTACCAATGATAAACATTATATCATATAGAATTTTGTAAAATATAGGGCACATTTCTTTATGGATTTGAAAAATGAAGGTTTTGGTTAAAACTTGGGTTTTACAAAACTATAGATATATGATGGAACTGCCCCATTTGGTTTTTGGTACAAACCATTGTTTGCTTGTTGGATTTCATTATGGATTTGGTATTGTTATATTTGTGGTTGCATTAGGAATTTACCTTAGTGCCCTTATTGAGTATTATTTATTTTTACATTATAATTTTTATTACAAAACAATTTTCATCTAATAGCTTCGTTCCACTAACACTATCGGAACAAATGGACATCATCAATCAATAACAACTTTATATTATACACACAATTAGACAATCCCTTAAGGTTTTCAATGTTGCAAAGTATGCTTTGAGATTAATCATGTAGTGCTTGTGTGCAATGAATAATAATAAATATTGAATGTAAAATTAATATGCACTACAAGTTGGTCATTAGTAAATGAAAGAGGATAAGTTGGTGATTAGTGAAATAAGTAGGGTTAAAATTGTAAAAAGTAATCATGGACTTTGTACCCCAAAACAAATCCCACCTCTTGGGGTGGAATTCTCAAGTCCGTGGGGTCCACGGATTTGGACTCTAAAACACTGTGGGCCCCATGGATTTGTCCCTACCAAATCCATCAAGCAAATGATGGATTGTGTACAAAGTCCATGATGGTTGGTTTTTATGTACCAAATCCATGATGAAATCCATTAAGCAAACAAGGCCATAGTTATTATTCAAACTATCATTATATCACTCTATCCACCAAAATAATCATTCAACATTCCAATACCTATTCAATTTCAAAGTGAGTTTTTCTTATAATTTATAGTAAAAAAAATATTATTATTAGACAACATTAAATTAAAAGTATAATAGCCCAATACGCCTGGCACTGTACATTCAGAAACCTTTTTCCTGTTCATACACACTCAATTTTACTATTCACCGACTTCTGATTGGTTGCTTGGTTGTGGTGGCCCCTTTGTGTCCCCTTGGCTTCTCATTTACGCTTTTCCTTTTGCTTCTTTGTGACTCTGGAGGAAGCTGAGCGAAAAAATCGCGTTGATCACAGGTAGACTGACTAGCTCCAGTTAGACCATAAAGCATTCTTGGGGTTGGGGATAGTTCTCCACGACTGAATTTTTATTGTTCGACCGTGACATGAGAGAAACCCATGCCAGCTATGAGTTTGACGGTTGGAGCTCTCACTTTGGTCGTTGCGCTGATAGAGAGAGGGCTAGTGGGTGGAGGTGTCAGGAAGGAAAAGAAGTATCGATGGGAATTTTGGGGACGTTGATTGGGCTGCTCTGATGGCCCCGCCTGAGGGAGCTTGGGATGACACCACGTCGATCATAAAAAAAAAAGCTTTTTTAGGTGTGGAGAAGCTTAGAGGAAATTTGTGGGATGAAGCGCCAAGTATCCCACAAAATTTTGTCTACTCATTTTACCTAACCAGCACAATTTTTTATCTTCTCCTTCAAGATTACTTTTTGATCGGAGCAGGATAGAAGTTTAGAAGCCCTCTTGCAAATAGGAAATCTCTCTTCCTCTGCTCACTCATTTCTCTCAACACCAACAAAGTTGAGTTTTCTCTCATATAATCTCTCCTTCTCCCTGTATTCTCTCAGATCGCCACTCCGAGCGGTTACCGAAGGGTTGTCGAGCACGCCGTCGGCTTTGATTTTCGCAAGTCTCGACTAATCCCAGGTACATTTTTGTTTTCTTAAGGTTCTCATTTAAAATATGTTAAGGATCTTATTGTGGGTTTCTCAAAGGGTGTTTTTGATATCTTTTTGCAGGATTGTTCATCGTTTTTGCCTTCTCCGTAGAACAGAAAGGCCCGAGCTTTGCATCTGATTTCATGTAACCTTCATTTTCGATGTTGGCTTTGGTAAGTAATTCTTTGGATGCTTTGGGTTTCGCTTTAGTTTGGTACTTCTCACCGGCAGAGGTTTCTTCTTTTGGTTCAGTGGGTTGGATCTCCCTGTTTTCTCCCCAGCTGCTCTTCTCCAACTCTCTATTCAAGATCTGTTGCTAGGCTGGACAACACGAAGGTCCACATGTCATCGCCATGCTCAGCCGAGGTTGTGACCTGAGATTCAATCTCTTTTTTACCATCTCTGCCACTTTATATCTACCCAGTTTTCTATTGATTTATTTGACTTTTGTTTGCTGATTTAGAAGGCAACAAACTTTATAGTGCGGACGATGATAGAATTAAGCAGCAGGTTATGGAGCTCAATGTTCTATATTTCTTGAGTTATAGAGAGGAACTCTTTTGCCGGTTAGTCTCTCTCCTCTGTGATGTTAAGTTATACCTTCTTTTGCTATCACTGATTTTCCTACTTTATCTCTTTCTTTTTCTCTCGAGACCGGATGGGATGGTTCGCTGGTTTGTCCAGTTTCTCCCACCTACAACTGACAGAAAGTGGAACTCCAGGTTGCTCGATGGTTTTGAAATGAACATACATGTTTTTGGAGAAGAAGCGATCCACGGATTGGCATTTTGGTCTTAGGTAAATGTCTTATCTGTTGAATTTTTTCTCTCGATGGTCTTTCACGGGGTTCGTGCTCTACCTTCTTCGATATTATTGATTCATTTAATTTCTTTCACGCTAATAGTAGAGGATTGCCCAGTCCCCGGAGGGAGCGTCAAATGTCATTACGAAGCTTAAATACTGGTCTTCCCTTCGTTATAACTCTCCTTTCCCTATTTTTTAGATCCATCTCCCATGCATCTCTCTTCCAATGGTCTTTTGATTGGTTGTAAGATCCAACTCACATTGTAGTTCTGTGAGAAGTTTGAAGATAGATTTTTGTTGGGGGAACTTTCTTCTGTAATCATTGTAGATCAGTTGTACCCGTTAAATACCTGTAATTACATATGTTATAATATGCCAATTCACATGTTATCCAATATTTGCTGCAATGCCATGTTTCTTTTAGATTTTGGTGTGTCCACACAGAATTTGATGGTCCAATGTTGTAATATAAAAAATATTCATGTTGATGCATTAGAATTATGATAGTTATATGTTAATGAACATCAGTTCAATTCTACATTTTGGCTTATCTGTAACAAACTTCTTACTTTGCCTTAACGAAATGATTGTACGTTCCTTAAAATAAAAAATGACTTGCTATTTGTTTACTATTACTGCCTTCCATTTCCTTGGATTTTGATTAACAAATTAACTCTACATATGTACAATATAGATCACAATAATAATTAAGCACAATTTTAATTTTTTTTTATAAATGTGCCCCAAATCCCGGCGCAGAGCGCGGGTATGAAAACTAGTATAGGATAAAAGCTAACGTAGCAAGCTTCAAGAAGAAGAATTTGTAAAAAAAGGGGAACAAAATTTAGAAATGATCAAGTATTGTATACTGCGCAATATAACTTTAACTCCCGTAAACACTAAAGACTGAGTGAGAAAACAACAAATAAAATTTGTATGCATAAATTACTATGTATTGTATACAATTGAGTATAAGTGCATTTCATAAAATTAGCTTTTAGTTTATTGAAAAATATATTACTTAATAATTAATAATATTGACTAATTAATAAACCTATTTTAGTATTTTTACACAAACTCTCCCAACCTAAGGGACCACGACTTTCTACTCTACATCTGCCCCTAGTTATACCCACTCTAGCATTTGGATTTGTTTACGTCTAAAAATAATTTTTAGATTGAATATCACATTGCCAAGATTGGCGTGGTGGCTTTAAATGAGCCAATTCAGAAAGTCTTAATAATTGATTGAGCCAAAACGGGTTTAGATTTAGTCGTTTTGATTCATTACCAACAGATTCGCAAGCCACATTAAACGATATGGGTGTGAGCCATGACGCCACGAGTTCAACAAACGTTGCGACAATTGAGACGTTGCAAGGTTAACCACGTCACGAGCTCAAGGTGAACAATGTTGGGAGATCAGGGACGTCGCTAGTTTAACAACAAGCGGTGAATCGACAGCTTCAATAGCACAAGGACGTCATGGCCTAAGCCACATCTTGGTTCACTTGCGGTATTGAGCTACAAATCCATGGAGTCACGATACAACTTTGTGGTTTGTGATTTCATCATAATGGTTCGAGCAACACCATGGTTCTAGCAATATCATGGTTGGAACCTTGTTTACTTGAGATCATCATTGCTTTAGCAATGTTGCGGGCTCAACAATGACATTGTGGTTCAAACAATGTCGCAGTGTGAGCCATGGTTTGCAAACTTGTTGGCTCAAGAAAAACGAAGTAGCTCAAACTATCTTGCGAGCTCGATGTCATGGTTAGCAGAGATTTAGTAGTGGCTAGATCATTATGTGAGCCACAATGTGAACCTAGTGACTCATTAATCTATGATAAACCCATGAGAGCCTAGTTTTAGGCGACCAGACTATTATCCGACACACGTGAGCTTCATGCAAAGAAAAATGAAGAGTGAGATGCAGAGCGGCAAAGACTACAACTTCCTACACGAGGGTGAACAACGTAGGAGATTACCTAGACAACTCGGTGAATATGAAGATAGATCACAAATGGGTTATTCAGCAAATGCACTTTTGTCATATTAACTTTTCTCTTTAACTCCTAGTTGTCAAGCTCCTTCAATGAAGGATTCTTCAAAGGTGTTAACAGTATGATAAGTGCATAATTATACATATGATGTTTGGCTTGGTTTAGTTGTTCATTGACCTATTTTAAGTTAGTATGTACTTATTTTGTCACATTCTATATCCAAGTACGTGAATATGGCATAGGAGCGAGTTTTGGAACATTTGGAAGCGAGGAACGACCCAGGAGAAATTTCTATGTCACAGCCAGGGCGACTAATCTATCGTGCAGTGTAGACCAAATTTATTTGGCCATAAGGCTAGGATCGTATTCTCTCAGGCCTCTTGCGGAACCCTTACTTCGGAAGCGAGGAACGACCCATCCTTGACCTGGCCTGTTTTCTCTATTCCATGCATTGATTCCAGTGGACCTCATGGTGTCTTAGTTTTCATTGATGAATATCCCAGAACCCTCCTATCCCATGAATCAAATTTTCATTTCATCTGGGCCTTCCCATGGCTGGCTAAGTTCCTTAGTTGTGTAGGTATGTAAACCCTAGGGTCGGGGTTCTAACGATATAAACTCGATAATTTGGTTTAGTACGATTGTTTAATTTTCATATGTGTGATGCTTGATTTCATTTATTTTGTTATTTTTTTTATTCAAATGATTGTTTAGTCGAACTTGCACTCCTTCAAGGTGTAAGGATATATATCTTAGTCATTTAGGATGAGCCTAGAAATAGCAGTTCTACTCGATCGAACCTCATTCGATTAAACGAAGTGACGCCTCAAGGAAGAAATAACAATTATTTTAATTAACAATGAGAATTATTCTAGCTCTTGAGGATCAACGTGGAGGCTCCCTTCTCACCCAACGATTTATGCTTACTGGATACAAGAAGGAGAGGACGCCCCGTCGTCGTCGCCCCTGTCGTTTGTCATCGGAGTAGGGGAGGAGAGAGAGAATTGGGTGGAGCACCCCAAGGCGATTCAAACTCCGTTGACGGTACTTGCACGTTCCATGAGGGCCCACGAAGCTTCTCCACTGATTGGATTGGTTCGAACCACCCAGACTAGAGGATCCAATTCGGGCTTAATCACCTCTGCAAATGCTCAAACACGACCAAAATTTGAGCGAATGGGTTGGAGCAATTGAGGATGCGTCGACACCAATTGAAATTGCAGAATCAATCGGAGGAAATGCTCGAAGCTATAGGAAGCCTCAATTTCAATCAGGAAACACAGGAGTGAAGACGCCCAAATCCGAATTGAAATTTCTGGGTTCTGAAATTTTGAAACTCGACAATGGCGGGAAATGAGGAAAAGATGATTCAACGAAGACGAGGGAGAATCGAGCCGGGAAACAAGTTCAGAATGACGATTGGAGTTGTGGCGCAGAGGATAGTCACCCTGAACAGAACTAGGCATGTCTAAAACAAAAATCCTCAATTCCATGGATGAAGAACTATGTCCTAGTTTTCCAGCATTGGCAGTTTGAGATGCCATCTTTCGATCCGATTTGGGATAATTTTTGTGCAGATTTTGACAATAGGAAGGCACCACCTTTGAGGACAAAGCTTTTGCAGAGGGAGAGCCTGATACAACCCTGGATTGCCTCATTTCCAAGTTGGGATTACTTGTCCAAGAAGCTTCTCCAACTCAGTTGAACAATCTGGATATTTGGCTAAGTATATTGATGAGTTAAGGAAGCCTTCTTTGGGAGCTTGGTTTTTCTAATTGGGTTGGTGGAAATGTGGGTTCAGGGTATTGTTTTGAACCTAGAGTTCTCCTCTACAACTTGGAGTGTCTGGAAGCTCGAGGAGAAACTCATAAGATCATTTTCAAGGCTCGACAAAATGCCTCCTCAACACAAGAAAACTATCAAAATCTGCCTAAGTATAAAACTGTGTTCAGGAAGGCTACTTTGAAGCTCTATTCCATGAAGATGATTTCGAATCAGTACAGGAGCTTCCTACTACATGAAAGTATTCATATTAATATACAGAGCAGAGGCATTGGATGATTTATTGCATACCTGGGAGTCATCAATCGAGGGCCTCAAAGATTGCCTCAAGGGTTGTTTGGTGACTTGGAGCTAAAGGCAGGATTCTTTCCTTATGTGATTCAGATTATTATTCCTTTTAGAACGCCTTACCTTGTTTAGAAGTCTAGCTAGGATCTATTTAAGCTTTCGATTGCGTTGTAATTGAACTCAAGTTTTATCAAATAACACATTTTGTTCATAGAGCCTTGTCTCGTGAATCTGTCCTTGTTTGCGTGGATTTGATTCCATCAACCAAGCGAGCTCAGCATCAATTGAGCATACACCTCAATTGTGGACGAGATTGCTACCACAAACTCAATCGAGCCTCTTCCCCAACTCGACGAGAAGTTGCACATTCGAACCACCCCTTTCTTTCCCCTGTTTTTGTTGTCCAGAATCCCCAACTCTTGCTTTGTGGGAATTGAGGCCAATCAAACGCCTTAGTCCGAGGTTTGGGCATTATCGGTTTCCATATAAACTCTTTAGTGTGTAAAATCGGACTAAATTGCACTTTAAAGTTTAAAAGCTTACATTTTTACGCTTTTAGTTCACCAAAACGATTTACGGTTTTAAGTTTCTAGTTCACTAAATGGGTATTCTTTTCATGAAATTAATTATAAAAAGTATAGTTTAATGGTAAATTGCTAACAATATGATACATTTGAGATTAAAAGATACATATCAGGTACTTGGATGCATTCTTAGCCTCAAGAGAGTAATCTAAGTCACAAGGTAGGTCATTCCCAAATTCATTAGCATAGAGGGGAAGGTGGCTTATTGTTAAGATGCTATGAGTTGCTTTACTTTAGACATGAGTTGCAATATTTATTAACTTATCTAAATTTTGTGCACACATATTTTACATAGTATATGTCGTACTTAACATATTTTTAGCCATTTTACAGTATGCGTAAAAAACATACGCTTTGATTCTACACTTTGATTCTACGCTTTACGATTTTACTGCTTTTCCGCTTCTAGGTAGAATCCTGCTTATGACTGCATTGCTCATACCTACCCCCACTAAGTTGGGTCAGGTCTGGTAATACTCGCATGGGTACGAAGTGGGACGGCTCGACCCATTCATATATATTATTTGGAAAAATCGACATTTAACACTTTTAGAAGAATTCATAGTGAAAACACTTCGTAAATGAATGACAAATATAATAGAAGGAATAATTGAGTCTAAAGAGTTGAGAAATAGGGTCTTAAACTTTTTTTGGAATGAAAATATTTTTTTAAAGATCCCAGAAGAAAAGAAATTCATGTAGATATTGATACAAATCATGATAGAATAAGTCAATAATAGTGTGGGGCAAGTCAAAAGCAATATTCATGGCCACCTCACACTACTGTAAGTTGGATAGTGATCGTTTCAAATAGGTCGGAAATTGTCAATCACTGTCTTAACGGTATGTGTTGTTAATGTCCTTCCTTCAACATGGTTTCAACCCGTGACCGAAGAAACCCCTGAATGTACAACGGATTGTTCGTCGAGATTTGTTGGCAATACACATTTGTCACAAGACCATGCAATTTTGTGCCATTTTCCGCATCTGAAACATTTAATGTCATTTAGGTCTCGATAAAATGAAAGGTCGCCTCTTGTTATGGTATTTGGCAAAATCTTATTGGAGGTCTTACTGGAAATGTCAGCAGTTTGATATTTATGCTGAAATCGTGATTCAATCATTTCATAACGTTAAATACCGCCTCCCCATTTCGCTTCCAATTAAATAAAAATCTGATCGAACCACCGATATGATACGATTTTTCAATTCTTTCCCAATCCATTCCACCACGGCACCACCCACACGACATGATTTAATTAGGCCTTTAGTCAGGTATCTCATAACTTGCAGAAAAAGGCAACCGACCTCTTCCTTGGCTTTAATTTTCTCCGCCTGGAAGCAACCTCCTAGTTTCCATCGTGGACCATACTATTTTCCAAGGGAAAATTAAGTACAAATACTCTCTGCAAACACGAACCCAAACAGAAACATATTTCTTTAATACCAAAACGAATTAAAGCTACCCTCCCTCTAGAGTAGTTCACCAACGAATCCGTTAAAAAATATAAAGTAGGCCAGAGTTGGTGACCCATAATTGGCTCTGCTCCTCTGCTTTTTCCCCATTGCCAAAAAGTCTTCACCTGAGAATTCCTTTTATAAACCCAGTCCTGCTCCACCAAAATTCCCCAACAAAACACACAACATCCTCACTTTCAGGGCAGAAGAAGACCCAAAAATCTGTTATTACCAACCAACCAATATCATCATGGCGGGGAACAGGATGATGAGCTTGAAGGCTCTGGCCGTGTGCCTCGCCGTTGCCGGGACGACTCTGTTTTCGCTGCAGGGAGCTATGGCGCAATCGAGCAGCTGCACCAACACTCTAGTGAGCCTCTCGCCTTGCCTCGATTTCATCACCGGAAACGCCACGAAGCCGACGAAATCCTGCTGCACCCAGCTCGGCAACGTCGTCAGCTCCCAGCCGCAATGCCTCTGCCAGGTCATCGGCGGCGGCGGCAGCAATTCCCTCGGGATCAACATCAACCAGACCCAAGCTCTTGCCCTTCCCGCCCAGTGTAACGTCCAGACACCTCCCGCCAGCCGCTGCAGTAACGGTAAAACCTCTGAACATCACCTTAGTTAATTAATTAATCCCCCCTGTTTCTCAATTTTTAACTAACGTGGTCGCAATTGTTGGGATGTGAAACGAAACCAGCGGCGTCGCCGTCGGGATCACCGAACGCGCCGACAGGGACCGGTGGAGGATCGGGTACGTCAACAGATGGGACATCGTCGTCGGATGGGAACAATGCGAAGCTGACTTTGACTCTGCTTTTCGTGGGGATCTTCCTTGCTTCCTACTCTTCCGTTTTCCCCGCCACCGCTGCGGTGTGAATTTGATTCTTCCGCATCGTATGATTTGGTTGTGAGGAATTTTTTTTTAGATTCTTTCTACAGGGAATAACTATCTTTTACTTTGGTGTGAAACTTGATTCTTCTGCATCGTGTGATATTCTATTGTATTATACCATTCTTGTCCACGTTCCTTGTTCATTGTTTGTACGCCCTTATTATTATGTTATAATAAAAAGCAGTGATGCGGATTTTTTTTTGCATTTTCGGGAATGGAAATCAAGTAATGAACGCCGTGTATCGCGTCATATGATGATCTGTTTGTGCATTGAATTTTTAGTAGTGATTTGGATGAGTTAAAGTTGAAATATGGTAAAATGTCCAAATGAGTGAAAGTGCTTGTCTATGGATACATATTTTGAGACGAGCAACTTTACTTTTGACTTTTCAACAATGAAATTTGTAATCTCTTTGCGGGAAAATAGAGGTTACATAATTGATAAATTTTTCGATTAAAATTTAAAATATGTATAAGTCAACTGCAAGGGTGGATGAAACCGGCCCAACCTATCCCGTGAGCTTGTTGGCATGGAATTGTCGAGAATTAGCCTTCACCTTGACAATACCTATACTCTACTGAGCTATTTCTCGTTTTTCATCGTTTCTAGTATTTCTTAGCGAAACTAAAAGGGATGACGACTTTGTTCTTTCTAAATTCCATCGTCTGGGGTTATTTAGAAGTTCGAACTAATAGCTCAACGAGTGAAGGTAGCGATATTGTGGTGGCTTCGTCTTTGAATGTGTCATGTACAGGTCACGTGCTTTCCTCCTTTCTTTGCTTCTTAGAATGCTAGCACCAAGGTAAGGGTGCTTTGTTGTCATGTTTATTCATCTAAACTGTGATGTACATATTTGTCATTCCCAAATCAATGAAATATTATCGTTGGTCTTGTCAAGTGTTCTCCACTGTTTGTGTTGGGGGGACTTAAATTGAAAACTGAATTTGTCGGAGAAGGAGGGTGGTCGACCACCTTCCTTCTCAGTTATGGATCAATTGAATGTACTTTTGAATGCTACAAGGTTGCATGATTTGGGGTTTCATGCATTTGTCAAAAGCGGTGATGCTATGACCGTTTTGGACAAAAATGGTGATTATAATCATTGTCTTCGTCATCGACAATGATGTTGAAACTGCTGTACTTTGGGAAATAAATTTATAAGTACTGTATTTAGGGAATTTTTTTTAATAATTAGAGTATTCTGGGATTTTTTCCTGTTTAGGAACCACATGTTTCCCCCCACAGTGCTTTGTGCCAACTTTTCTTCTCTTCCTTTGGTCTAATCGATTCCCAAATAGTCTTGATAGAGAACTGGTCCAGAGTTTTGCCTTCCCACTTGACTTTGGTACTTATCACATTCAGCCTATAGAGGACCCAGGACCTAAGCTTGAGGAGCTTCCTCCACAACTAAGATCCTGCTTGCGTTAATGGCAAAGTTCATAGCAGTCAAAATCGGGATTTTACGTAAAATCGGAATCGTAAAATCTAATCATAAAATCGTAGGATTCTAAGTTCTATATAAAAATAAAGATGAAATAATATTAACAATAAAAATTATGAATAACACAACACATAACAATTACAATGATAATTTCTCAAGGTTAATGTTGGGAAATGGTGAATCGATGATGATTGATACAATATTGATGTGAATTAATGATGGTCTATGGTGGTTAGTGTGCGAGAACTAGATGATGATGATGGTGGAGGAGAAGAAAAAGAGGCGTAATTTTGCGAATTCTGGAGAAAAAATGTAAAATTAACCCAAGATTTGAATCGTAAAATCATAAGATTTTCAAGATTTTAAGGATTTATAGCATGGATAGTGTAAGATTTTTATAGTAAAATCATAATCGGAAAAAGTAAGTAAAATCATTAAACCGTAGGATTTTAGGATTTAAATCTGGATTTTGACTGTTTTGGCAAGGTCTAGAAGTCTCTCCCTTTCAATCGATGTTTATAAATTCATGCCACCCAAAAGGATCCACACCATTCTGGCTGCACAGACGACATTCCAAGAGCCAAGGTCTTTGATACCAAATCCCCCTCCTCTTTTGACAGTGCTAAGTGTTCTCAAACAACTTTTGCCCTCCCTGTGCCTTCTCCATACCATAGAAAATCTGAGCATCATTTCTGAATTTCCCTGATAACTTTCTTTGGCAAAACATAGACATTCATCAAATATTCAGTTAAAGCCATAAGAATAGAAGAGATCAATTGAATTTTGCCTGCATAACTGAGCTTACTTGCTCTCCATGACCTTATTCGACTTGTTATTCTATCTGCAAGCAAGGTGCAGTCAGTACCTTAGTGAATTTTCTCTTAAGAGTATTTATGATTCATGCGGATAAAAGTTTCAAAAAATTTTATTAAAATATTAAAATATTTATTAAAACATATTTATGAAAAATTCTAGGCGGCGTTGGGGGAAGATTTCATATTGTCTTCTCTCTCTTTTTCTCTCTCCCCTCTCTCCTCTCTCTGGTTTTCTAGGGTTCTCGATGTCAGCTTCGTCGTCGGCTGCTCCGGCTGGCGAGGGCAGTTCCTGGGCGCAGCTATTTGAGGTTGCTCCGGAGAATCGACTACAGTATCGTCCGCGATCAAGTTTCAAGACGGTTTCCGTCTACCGAAAGAGGTGAAGGAGAAGGGAGCGGAGCGGTGGAAGAACTCTCTTATTGGACAGTTCATTGGGACTCGGCCAAAAGTATCGGAGCTGCAATCCTGGGCGAATGCTCTCTGAGGGCGGGATGGCATTGCCAGAGTGTCGAAGTTTGGGACCAAGCTCCTGGTGTTTCAGTTCCCTTCTGCTGCTTCGTGCAATTGGGTTTTCCAGTCAGGGCCATGGCATTTTAGAGGTAACCCTGTCTTCTTTCGCAAATGGAAGTCAGGTATTCTACCAATTGTTCCTAAGATTGAGACATTGCCGATCTGGGTGAGAATCCGGGGTCTTCCTCTAGAATATCTTGCTCCGGAAGGGTTGGAATGGGTAGCGAGTATGATAGGGCGACCGTTTTGGATGGATCAGAAGACGAGGGATTAAGGTCAGTTAGGGTTTGCTCGTGCGTGTGTTGATCTTGCTGCTGATTATTCCTTTCCTTCCTCTATTAGGGTTTACCCATACGAGGATCCTTCGTTTGATATTAGAATTGAGTATAGTAATCTCCCAAAGGTGTTATCAAAGTGTTGTGTGTTTGGGCATAATTGTGAGGAGGCCCCGCAACGGGTTTGGATTCCTAAGGTGTCTAAGAATACTGCGATGGATCTTGGCGAGGATTCAGATGCTATGGTGAATGTTGTAGAGAATTCAGTGTTCGATCCTGTTGAAGACATTTTTAATTAAGTGCAAGAGTCTGTGATTCAATGTGTAATGGATAGCTTGGCAGACGAGGTAATTGGGCATGCATCATCTGTGGGGGATCTTGTGCAGGGTCTAATTGCAGAGGATGTGGTCTCCCCTTCATTAAAATGGTGGGGGGGGGGGGGCTCGAGTCAGTTTTGCTGAGGTAGTGAAGGGGTCATCAGCTGCTGCTAGGAGCCCTAACACGCCTTATGCATTAGTCTGCTGGTAGTAAGTCACCTTCTGCTAAGGGGAGCGTGCTGTCTCCGATGACTGCTCGAGTTATTCAAACTGGATCCAGATTTGCCATCCTTGATAAGGAGAATAGAATCCCTCCAAGTGCTGCTGACAAAGGTAAGAAGATTTGGATTGACCCTTCAGATGTTAGGGATAACAGAAAGAAAGGGGCTAAAGGTGGAGGGAGAGGTAGGGGTCATAGATGAAGATCCTCTCATGGAACACAAGAGGGTTTGTTGCGGATAAGAAATATACAGCTATATTAAATAAGATAAATAAATATAGTTTAGATATTGTTGCTATATTGGAGCCTCGGGTAAGTAGACTGGAAGCAAAGAAGTTGAAGCAAAAGAGATTTGCAGGGTGGGGGCAGGAAATCTTATTCAATGATGAAGGTTTGGGGAAAATTTGGTTAGCATGGCGCTCTGAGATTCAGTTGACCATCATAGATAGCTTTGATCAGTTTGTTCATGTTCTAATTGGAGGCAAGGCTCCATTTTTTGCCACGTTTGTGTATGCTTCTAACAGTGAGAGTCAGAGGGAAGAGCTTTATGCTAATGTTTATCGATTCAAAGTGGTTAATTTTCCCTGGATTCTGGTTGGGGATTTTAATGCTATCAGAGATCCGAGTGAAGGCTCAAATAATCCTCAGTATTCTGCTAGTATAAAGTCTCTATATGATTGGTTAAGAGAAATTGAGGTGGAGGAGCACAAATCTACTGGGCCATGGTTTACATGGCTCAATAAGAGTCAAAATGACCCCATTGCTAGAAGACTTGACAGGGCTTTTGTGAATTTGGATTGGTTAGAAGCGATGAAGAATAGTGTAGTGCAAACACTATCCCCTGGGGTCTCAGATCATTGCCCGGTTTTATTCAATCTGAGTTCCCTCTTAAGTCATTGCCTACGCCATTTAAATTTTTCAACTTCTAGCTAGAGCATCCAATGTATGAGGGGTTGCTTGCGCAGGCTTGGACTAAAGTTGTGGAAGGTTCTCCTTTGATAACGGTTAACAAGAAACTAAGAATACTCAAAGGTTTGCTCAAGAAGCTCAAAAAGGAGGAATACTCTGACATAAGGGGGAGAGTAAGGGAAAAAGAGAAAGAACTGGAATCTATTCAACTGGCTTCCCTTTCAAGTCCTTCTCAAATGAGTTTTGAGGTTGAATTACGGGTTTCTAAAGAACAGTTTGATCTGATTAAAACAGAGGAAAGTATTCTGAGGCAGAAATCTAGAGAGTTGTGGCTAAAGGTAGGAGACACAAATTCAGGTTACTTCCACCGCTCTATGAGAACTAGAATCAAAAGGAATACAATAACTTCTCTTAAGGATGCTCAGGGGAACTCAGTCACTTCAGTTGAAGACATGTGTCAAGTGGCTATTGATTTCTATATGCTTCTGCTGGGGAGAGAGAACCACATGTTGAGATAGAATCAGTGGATTTCTTTAAGGGTTTGCTAAGGCACAAGATCAACTCTGCGCAGGTATCTTCTCTCTGTGCTAATATCACTGCTAGTGAGGTAAAAGATGTTATGTTCAGCTTTAATGGAGATAAGAGTCTAGGACCGGATGGATATAATGCAAGATTCTTTCAAGCATCTTGGGGAGTTATTGGGGCTGAAATTACAAGTGCCATTTAGAATTGTTTTGTGACTGGGAAGATTCCAAGAGAGGTAAATGCTACTATCCTTGCTCTGATTCCTAAGGTCCAAAACCCTAATGAGATGAAGTTTTTTAGACCTATTTCTTGCTGCAATATAGTGTATAAATGCATATAAAAGATTGTGGCGAATAGATTTAGTTCACTCCTGCCCCTAGTAATTAGTAAAAACCAGACTGCATTTGTAAAAGGGAGGGTCGTTGGGGAGAATATTCTCCTAGCTCATGAGCTAGTGAATAAGTATTCTAGAAAGAACATTTCCACTAGGTCAACGTTGAAGATTGACCTAATGAAAGCGTTTGATTTTGTGAATTGGCAATTTCTCTTTGTTGTGCTTGAAGCCATGGGGGTCCCTAGTCAGTTTATTAAATGGATAAGGATGTGTGTCACAAGTCCTATGGTGAGCATTGCTTTTAATGGGGGCTCAGTGGGATACTTCCCTGCAAAACAAGGTTTGAGGCAGGGAGACCCTCTCTCCCCTTATTTGTTTGTTGTTGCTATGGAGGTTTTTTCCTGTCTATTGGATCTGGAAGCTGAGAGGGGAAGATTTCCTTACCACCTAATGTGTAAGAAAATTGGATTGACTCACTTATGTTTTGCTGATGACCTTTTGGTCTTCTCTGAAGGGTCAAATTATGGTATTCAGAGTGTGCAGAGGGTATTGAGTGTATTCCACAAGCTCTCTGGGCTCCAGTCTAATCCTAGTAAATGTGAAATTTTCTTTGGAGGGTTAGAGAAGGAAGAGATGGTGGCTCGAGCTAGTAGATATGGTTATCAGCTAGGTGGTTTCCCAGTGCATTATCTAGGAGTACCTCTAGTGGCTGGAAAGCTCACAGTTAATGCTTGCAGGCCTCTCATAGATAGAATTACAAGTAGGATGCAGGGATGGAAGGCAAAGTCTCTCAATTATGCTGGCAGGGTGGAATTAGTTGGCTCTGTCCTGTATAGTATGACACAGTATTGGATGAGTGTCTTCATGCTTCCCAAAACTGTTATCCGTGAGGTTGAGAGAATCTGTAGTAACTTCCTCTGGTCTGTTGGACATGGACTCAAGCTTAAAGCTAAAATGGCTTGGAAGTACCTAGCTATACCGAAGAAAGAAGGTGGATTGGGACTGAGGGATCTCACTACCTGGAACTTTGCTTGTCTTCAGGCAGATTTGGGCGATAATGTTGCAGCATGGCTCACTATGGGTAGCCTGGATTCAGGAATATAAGTTGAAAGGTAGGGATTTTTGGGTTGTGAATGTGAATGGTTCCTGGAACTGGAAGAAGCTGATGAGACTTCAAAGTAAGGTTCCTAACCTATTTAGCTTTAACAATGGCTTGCTTCTCTGGAATAATAATGCTACGCCAATGTACTCTATAAAGTTGATCTGGGAAGCTGTTAGGCCAAAGCAAAATGTAGTAAGATGGTATAAGCTTCTCTGGAAGGGGATTACTATCCCTAGAAACAGGTTTCTTGTCTGGCTTATTATTCGTAACAAAACACAAACAAAAGACAAGATGAAAAAATGAGGATTTGCATGTTCGGATCATTGTTTTCTCTGCGATCAGCCAGGTGGGACAAGGGATCACTTGTTCCCTGTCTGTCCCTACTATTCTTCTATCCATTAGCTGCTGCTGG